ATAAGCCTAGTCACGTGAAATCGTGAATGATTGTATAATTGGGGCGAGCATAAGCGAGCCCCACTCAGGCGAAGTCTCCCTCCCTCCCTCCGTATGTATGTATGTATGTATGTATGTATGTACGTACGTCTCCAGTCACGCCTATTCTGGTCACGCCTATTCTGGTCACACCCCATGTGTGCACAATATCTATTTAAAAATCAATGATCTAATGCGGTAGCATTCTAATGAAATATTTTCATTGATGTGGGTGTGGTTGCAATGAAATTAAAATGGCACCTACCTTAGCCAATCTTACTTGCAGCAACATAGGACTGATCTCTTGTCAAGACACTTCATCAGCAGAGAAAATTCAAGAAAACACACATAAATCTTCAAGTTTTTATTAATTATGGTTGAATGACAGAATATAAAAGCACTTCAAATGGCTCATCAGAGAAAAGAGAGTCTAAAAGTACTGTGCTTGAAAATATCATAGTAAAAATTAGATTATACTTATTAAAGTTACAACTCAGATTCTTCACTGCTAATAAAGCTAGAAGAGCAAGCTATAAAATTTCCTTGCATGCAAGTCACAAGTTCTGAGCTGCTCTGCATGTGTATCATTCAATTTACAATTTGACAACAACATTAGCCTTTGTGACATCTAAACATTGTATATTGCCATGCTAGCTTGTGCTCGCCCCTTCAATGTTCTACATTCGCCTAGTTGGGGCGAGCATAAGCGCATAGGCGGCTGCAGGATTTCACTGCAAGTAGGGCAAAGGTATGGCTGAAAGTGGGAGTGGTCAAAATGTAGGTGTGGCCATGACCACACCCACGTGTCTTGTTCTTGAGTTTTAAGACTGTTAAGACTTCTATTTCGGCATTTTGTGAAGAAATCAAGTTGAAAAAGGCTCTGAAATTCTCAATGAAGAATTACTCTGCCATTCTTGTGTTCAAAAGGACAAAATTTAGTACCTAAAAGACCTCTATCAATGATAGAGTATCAGTAGCTAGGTGATTTAGCTGTTGAATGAGTCCTAGCTGACTATGATGATTAATAATGAAGCTGCTTTTATGATGGAGTCAGTTATTCTAGCTGCAGGCATAACAGTCGTATATCTATGCTGCAGGTTACTGTAGATTATGCCTTCCTGAAGTGACTATAGATATGGACCTATGAAGCTAGGCTGTGTTGAACCATGCAGTTAGCACTTATTCTCCACTAATTATCACTTTGTTGAGCAAAATAATGTAGTTTTTGTCATTAAAATAGCTATATTCCATGTAATAACTACTATATAATTATTAATTAACTGCTAATTATGATGATGTCATCTTCCGGTAAGAAATTCTAGTAGGGCATTGCCCTCATTGCCTGCCCCTGCAGCCGCCTATGCTACATGTA